CACTCCCAGAGGGGAGTGTGGAGCAAAAGGGGAGCTGGCACGAGATTATCCAAAACAGTTGGTGCATTCCTTAATGATCAAGTGCTTGAGAAGTCCAGCTCTTCCTGGCAGAGCATCTGTGTTGATGTTTATATCATTGCCCTGCTGTATGGGAAAGGCATGCTTTCTCTTGCTGCTTGGCTAAAAATAGGATGGACTATAGCATTGTATGAGATATTTTAAGATAGCAAAAACATTTAAGAGGTTAAAGGTTTGGCTTTTGGATCAAAAAAGATCAGTGATATAACTCGTGGTGTTTCTTGCAGACTGAATTTTATCCAGAGTTTGTCAGTGATTCGAACTCTGTTAGGCAAGTTATTCTAGGTTCATTTGGTGCAGTCTTAAAAAACCCATTCTGCTGTCTTTTCTGTCAGCTTCCCAGCATGAAGAGCAGGCCTGAAAACAGCCTCTATTTATACCCCCTTGTTCGTATTTGGAAAATCAGTTGTTTCATTGGAGAGAGGCGGGGAGAAGGACAGCACAAGCTGTCGTCAGGGAGTATGCTTTGTACGTTATAGTGACTTCAAAATAAAACTGGCACATTTTAGTGTCTAATTATTTTTAGTGAGCTTGGAGGGTTTTAATTAAAATTTAAGAGTGCTCTTCAAGCTCTCCAAGCTCCAATTTTATCCCACTGTATTGTGGAGCACTTGTCACTGTGGAAAAATGTACAGTAACTGGCATGTGTGTCTCTGTTTCATAATGAAAAATGTGGGATGTATGATCAGCAGCGGTATAAATGTATGTTGTCATAACTAGTTGTAAACCAAGGTCAAAGTTACTTTTGATAAGTTATCATTGTTCTTGCACACATAGAAAATTTATTGCACTTGAAATTTATGATTCCAATAGTAAAAATAAAAGGAATTGGTTTAATATTCTCTTAAAGGAGTTAATAAAGCAGTAGGAAATCTGCATATAGGGGCAGCCTTGTTTTCCTCAGTAAAATATTTAAAGACATTTTTCTATGTCATGTTTCTAACGTTTTAGCATTTATAACTTTACATATCGCTTTGAGGCCAAAGGAATAGTTAAGTGTTTACTCATAGTCAAATTGTTTTAAAGTACCTGTGCAATAAAAATGTTTCCCATTATTCTTCCCTATTCCTCCATGCTTTAGTTTTAGCAATTATTTATTTATTTAGTCTCTTTGACACATTTGAAATACCATCACTTTATGCAGGATGGGAGTTTATACTACAGTGGCTGTATTTAGGAATAATTTAAAATTGTTTCTAAAATATTATCATATAGATTAGGAAATAAATATATCACATACTCTCACTTCAAATTTATCTGTACTGTGAAATTAATTGTTAGCCTGGTAAAGCATTCTTGACTTACCTGGCCTGAAATCTAAATACTTAGGAAGCAGAAACATTGCTTTCCAATCCGTTATGCAGGATATTTATTAAAAATAAGGTCTGAATTGTGTTTTTACTTTTTTCTTTAGAAAAAGTTTCTTTAAAGAGAAAAAAGTTGCGAAGGAAAGAAAAAAAAAACAAAAAGAAAAACTATGCCACTGAGAATTTTAACATGTGAAAACCTTTTACATCCTTGATTAAAATATAAGCAGGAATTGAAGGCCAGCTCTTCATTTCCGAGTCTTGTTTTACTCATATGATTTACAATAATTAGAAAAGATAAATATAATAAAGTCCTGCATTTTACTGAATATGTATTGGTGTGTGAACATTAACTATTTCAAAGTAAGATGGATTAATTTTAACATCTTCCACTTTTATGCTGAAATATTATCATTTTTAATAGGTACATATCATTGTAACATTTTTTTGTCTTGTAATGTTGTCGTTCTTTCTCTTAATTTCCAAAGGGTATGTAGTTCCTCTTTTAGTTTTTAGCTGAAGATATCTCAGTGAAAATACTAAGATTTGAATAATCAAGAACATTTAGGAGAAGTTCACTCCTTTTATTCCATTTGGCATGCTGAATAACTACTGAGTTAAAGCAATTCTGCATGGTCTTTACTCCTGCTGTGTACATAATACAAACTGGACCCCTTTACTTATTCTGACCGCTTTGGTTTTTGCATTTGCGCATGATCAGAATGGGGTAAAGTTTGATATGATCAATTACCTCTGTAAAACTAGTGTCCTATAAGTGTTGTTGAAGGATGTGCCACATAGAGGATGAATATTTACTTTTAATTTGCACCCTTACCTGGAAATTGTTTTGAGTAGGAAATTTGAAAATATAAATTTTCATTTGCAACTTTATCTATTACATATTTCTTCATCCTGAGTCAGAAACCTCTCAGTGGTGGCAGTGGTGTCCTTTGCCTGTGTGGTATTTGTTAACAATCTGCATCTTCTGGTCTTTTCTCCCTCATTTTACTTGCTTTACATTATAGTATGGAGCATGCTTAATACTACTTGTAGCTATTTGGCAGTCAGATAATTAGGTGAGAAAGCTGAGAGTTTTTCAAGAGACTTCCTGAGTTTTGAATCTTCCCGAATCTCTTAGACTTGAGATTAAACATTGATAAGGTTGTATGTTGTGACATTTATTGTCCTGGAGTTAAAGGCCATCAGTGACTGCCTTTATTTTCATGAGTTATAAATATAGACATGGAAAGACTGCTTTTTTTTCCCCCTCAGTTTCTTCTACTGAAATGGGAACTCATATTAACTAGATTAACTCAGCATTATGGTGAGGATTAATTTTTTAATAGGAATGTGAAATGCTTTGATGTTATTAACCATTTTATTAATGAGTAGCTTTTATGTGAAGCTGTGTACACATGGTCTGATTTATGTTTAAAGTGTGTGTTCCTGTTGACCATACAGTTCTATTTTTCTCCCATGAAGCTTTAGCATTCTTTTCCTAGAGCTCTGAAAGATTTTAGGTCTATTTATAGAAACGAGAGACATAGTTTAGCCTGTTTTACATTTAGTGTGTATATAATCCTAGTTTCTGAACTTGCCCTGAATTTGTGATCATTACTAGTAATTTGGGCTTTTGTCTTCTACTATTATAATATATGCTCTCAACTCAAATTTGAACCAAACAAATTATGCTTTAGCATTTATATCAGGGATTATCAGTTTAGTGCAATGTGATAACAGGTATGAAAGGGTTAAAAAAAAGAAGTAACAGAATTAGGTAGGATAGGAAGTTGAAGACATTTTGCTGATTATTCTTATCCATGATCTGATGTTACATCAATCTCTCTCAGAAATTTAAACCTGATTTGAGAAAAACTAATGTCTGTTAGATGTGGCTTTGAGGATTTGCTTCTTAATCCCAAACTTAGTATTACCTTTTTTTTATTACTTTAGCATAAACACAAAATAGGTATAAAACAAAGTATATACCTTGTTTTTGAATTTAAAATGAAAATATCAAGAGACCATTTTGGAAATTAAATACAAACCGTTGTGTGAGCATAGACCCTTTTGGAAGGTCACTCAAAATCCAATTTTTAATCATGGTAGTAGATCACTTGTTGAAGCCTCAGAAAATAATTAATAGGAAAGAATGGAAGAAAAGGAGGAGGGAAGGATAGAAGGGACGAAGGAAGGGAAGGGACCGTGAGCTTTCAATTAATCGAATAACGCTGACTTCTATTTAGAATGAACTTTAACTTCTGTGATAGTGAGCTAGTATGGTTGTTCTTCGTCAGCCATTTCATGACACACTGATCTGGATTGCATCCATTCTTTGATTGATTGATCATGTCATGGACAAACGTTAATTGTTTTCGCCAATACTTTCTAATGATGCAGAGGTCCTCTCATCTCTTACCCAGGGCTCACTGTATTTTTCTAAAGCTTATCTAGTTTCTAAAACCCTTTAGATCCATCCTGACCTTACTGTCATTCTGAAAAATTCAAGGAGGATTTAGAAGTTGGAGAAAAAAATGAAAGGGAAAATGCTAAATAGATAGGTACTGATATGGGAGAGGAAAGGCATTTGGAATTGGAGTACTATTTTAAATACAATTTTAAAAAGAAGTTATCAGAATTTTGACACTTGGAATGTTAAAGTTTAATGGGAGTATGCTTTGCACTGAGGATTTGGTATTTAAATCTGCATTCCCTTTTGGAAACATGGCCTATTTGTTAAGATTTGAGGCTTAAAAGATATATATAAATAGTTGTAAGCAGTAGCACCAGTTGCAAACCCATCTAAATAGAGAGAAAAAAAGTGACTCATTGAGAAAAAATTGCTAATTATTAGGGCATTCTAAAATTAAATTTCTGTAACCTTTATGAATCCTTATAGAAGCAAATATAATCATTCCCTATGATCTAGTATGTTAGTTAGATATGCAGTTGGGCAAATAGTGTTTAACTGAGTATTTTCTTTATAAGAATATGCATCTTTTTCTATAGAAAAGTTTTTAGCAGTTTTTATTACTGAGGGACAGAAAACATCTTGACTTTATTTTCTTTGAATTATCCTCTAAGTGGGTATTCCACAAAAGTTGTCATATGTTTATTTCTTTTTTAAGGACTATGTGGTTACAGTTTGACTGGTTTCTTCCCCCTTGAAGATTTGTCATTCTTCCTTGAATGGCACATAAATTTTGCTTAGACTTAGAAAAAAATCACCTGGATTAAAAGGAACAACATCTAAACTTAAATATCAGAGGAAATCGCCCCCTTTTCTGTCCTATCAGTCTAAGAAATGATAAATGCTGACTGAATATTAATAGAATTATATTTATACTACCAAGATAAGATTATTGAGCATTATCTTTTCCCCCCCCCTGGGAATAGTTTAAGTAGTCAGGTAAAAATAAATTTAGTTGTGGTATTTTGTGATAGATACACTAATATAATTATCTATATCCTAGGGTTAAAACAACAACAAATATAGCCTTGATCATTTTTATAATGGGAGAATTTCTCCATAAGTTGGCTTTTGTATTTGTAGTATTTTAATAGTTGTAAAATATATATGTAACATTTTCCATACTTACTTTTTAACTCTAACAGATTCCTCCTGCATGGAAAAACTACTTTCAAAAGATTGGAAGGAAAAAATGGAAAGACTAAATACCAGTGAACTTCTTGGAGAAATTAAAGGTACAATATACAAAATATCAAACATATCAATGTAGAGTATATTATTTTGTATAACAACATGTTTGCTGATCTCTGTATCCTAAGATTAAATTTTTACCTCTAATATGTGTGTATACATGAGAGGGTAAATATGTAGTGTGTCCTTGAGATTTTATTCTTTATAATGCTTATAGAATGAAATTTTTTCCTTCTGTTTTTATTAGTCTATAAACATATAAATTATAGGGTAAATTGCTTCATTAACAGTCTGAAAAATAAAAAAAATGTCAAAAGATGAAGAACAAGTTAATTTTAGTCTTTCCTCTCGAAATCTTAATAATGGCTTGATTTATGAATCCAAATCATTAATTTGAATTTCTTCTGGTCAAAAAGGGTCAAGGGTAGCATCTATAAAAAAGAGTTTATTGAGTGTATTTTACATAATGGTTTGTGGGTGTTTTCTGAGGCTTGGTTACCTTTTTCAAATCCTGGCTCTATCACTTCCTAGCTGAGTGGCTTTGGGCAAGTCACTGAACTTTTCTGTTTCAAATTCCTTATATCTAAATGGAGATAATAACAGTTCCTACTTCATAGGCTTATTAATAGGATTAATACAAGTAAAGCTTTTAGAACAGTTGTTGGCACTTAGAAAACACTCGTGAGGGTCAACTGTGGTTGCTGTTATTATTAACATACCCATAGGATCATAGGTTGACTGATCTCAATCAGATTTCATAGAAGTTAACGTTTCATGACCTCTGACCCTAATAAGGATGAGCATCTTTAGTTCTGAAGGTATGTGATTGATGTTATTATTTTGAAACATGTTAAGAATCATTACAAAATTAAGTTGTCCTATCAGTCAGGAAGTTATTCTTCTTCCTTAACTCTCTCTTGATGCCTTCATGGAGATGAAGTACTTTATTACTAATTTTGGTATCCTAAACAGAATCCATGGTTATTAATTAATTCTATCAGTTGTCTCTTGCAGACAGACAGTCATCACTCCAATTTGCACTAACAATCTGGGAACCTAATTACATTAGTTTTCTGAAGTTATCAAATAACTTCAGATGAATCTTCCTATTGGTCATGGATAATGTTTTATTTAAGATAAACATCTGGCAATAACTCTGATGAAAATGTTATTTTTAATTTATTACCAAAAATTGCCTAGTGTTCAGGTATGTTGTGTTCAATTCAAATGAAGACAAAAGGAAGTCATCTCTTTCCCAGGGAATTATTAATAACTCATTTCATTAACTAATACAGTATTAACATTAAGTGGAAATTGAATATTATTTTGAATTCCACTGCCTCTGTTCTGTACTCAGAAAGGGCATTTGCTATTTGGGGAAAAAAATCTTAACTTATAAATGATGGGTAGAAAGAAAGTCATTAGTGACATATTCTCTATCCAGCTGCAGTAACATGTTGTGTGCTACTTTGCACGTCATTCTGTGTTTTCTATCCTTTCCAAAGTCATTGGTTTTTTAATAGTGAGAACAGTAATGGTTTATGCAAAGGCAAGCTTTTGCCAGCATGAAAGACAGGGGTCTTGCTTTCTCTTAGTGATGTGGAAGTCAATATTTTATTATGTCATGATTCAGCATCAAGTTTTTGTGCTTCAGGTTATCTCCTCTCCCTTCCCCCGCTTTCCATCTTTCTTTATTTTCCATTCTGATTATGACTTTATGATGCAAAAACTGTACTAGCCTTAGATGATCAAAATGTCTAAATCTCAAAAGCAAAAACACATGCAAATTTAGGCTTTTCAAATTCTTTAACTTTTTTTTCTGGATTCTGTATGTGATATGTGAACTTTCATTTGTGTGCTGCTCTCAGTTTTATGAGCATAGGAGATAAGATTCTTACTAAATTTTTCATCTTGATTTATTATACATAATTGTCTCTTTTTACATCCTAATATTTTGTCACCATAGCCATTATAAAAAATATACCAATAATATATTATCATAAAAACTGGAAAAAAATAGTTTAAGTAGCATTCAGATAGTTTGATTCAACCCCTGCTAAAATTCAACATGTATTTTTAGTCTAGGTGAGATCAGGCCAGTTATTATCCACCTAAATTAGTTATAATTATTCTGAAATTTTAATATGGTTTAAATACTATCCCCAAGAAATACATACTATTGTGGGCCATCAGTATTTTATATCTCAAACAACCCTCATTACAAAATTTGTTGTAAATGAATTTATGATAAATTCCTTCATTACATATTTGTTGCAAAAATAGAGAAATAGACACACAAAAAATAAAATGGTTATTTAATTCTACCTGTATTATTTTGTTTAATTTATGCATATACTTGTTAAAGTTTTTCCTTAAAATTAGAATCTTTTACTGTTCTTTTATAATCTATTCTTTCCCATTTAATGATATAGCAATAAGTGATTAAGTCATCGAAAATATTTTTATTTACAGAAAATATTGTAGGAAGTGAGGTTCTCATAATTTGAGTCTTTTATTCAACATTTAAGTAGTTTTTAAAAATTATTTGTCATTGTAAAGAAAAACTTGAATATGGATAACTTCCTAATAATTTTCAGTATTAATTAGTAGTTATCTTCTTAGGATATATTCCTTAAAAGTGAAATTCCTGAGTTAAAGCATGTGTTCTTTTCTAAAAAGGCCATTGACTCATACTACCACATTACCCTGCAGAAAGGGTACAGTGTTCCACTCTCACCAGCAGTGTCTGCAAGTATTCTCTTGCCCTCAGTGGCAAGTATTATTACTTCAAAAATTTCTTGCCAGTTTTTATAGGGAAAATGATACACTATTGCTGATTTAATTTGAATTTCTTTATTATTGTTAATGAAGAATCTGACATAAATTTATTTGTAGTAAATGTCTCTTCCTTTGAGAATTGCCTGTTTATGTTGTTTGCCCATTTTTTTTTAACGGATTTGTCTAGTTCTTATGGTTCTGTATGATTTTTAGTGTATATTTTAATGGTATTAACCTTTGTGTCATATATGTTTCATTTTATCATTTTCTTTTGCATTATGATTTTTATTGTCAAATCTCTCCCTCCCTTTTCATCCTCTTTTATGTTGGAGGTTTGTTTAGAAAGGATTCCCCCACTCTGCTATATTTTGTTCCAATTCTTTGCCCATATTTTTAATCATTTAACCCTTTAATTCCTCTTGAGTATATTTTGATGTGTAATTTCAACTAGAGAAACAACTTAATTTTTTTCTTAAGCCATTAACCAAATATATCTGTATCAGTAATTAAATAATTGATCTTCTCTGTCTGACTTAAATAACATCTTTTACCATACTGATTGCATATTTGAAACCATATCTCAGCTTTTGGTTTTATTCTATCGATCTATCTAAACTTTTATTACTACTGTGCTATATTAATCACTGTAGCTTTATGGTATCTTTGAAAAGTAAATATTGCAAGACCACATTCATAATTTTTCTTTAAGGTGTGTGCATACTTCTCTAAAGTTTATTTTAGGCTTACATTTAATTTAGCTAAGTGTTCATTAAAATCCCAAAATAAGTTTTTGAAAGATTATATTTATATGAAACTATAGGGTGAACTGACATCTTTATAGTATTGAATCTTTTCATTTAAAATAATTTATTCT